GTCTCTTTCAACTGGTTGAATCATTTATTCGATCGGTTCAATTGGTTGACTAAAAATCATTTTACATTTTTACACCGAAGGCAGATGCAAATGCAAATCTGTTTTGTTAGTGGAAGGAGAGAAAGGGCAATGACGAAGGGTTGAGATTCGAGGAGACAATTGTGGAGTCATCGACGGCTAAGATCCGAGAGGTAGTTGACCGCTAGTGATTTCACTACTCCGTTTTCTTTCTGCTTTCTAGCTGCTTCTGCACAGGAATGAAGGGCTTGCTTTTTGGTTTTGCTTTTATAGAGACAAAGGATTGGAAGCCGCAGACGGAGGCCATGAGCGAGCAGCAAGTTCACGATTTTTGGCTGCGATCAAGCAGGGAAAGGCCGACGATGATGACTGGTGCGTGGTACTGGTGGTCTGGTGGTGCTGTTCTTCTCTTCCCCTGCTCTCTTTTGTTTCTAATTTCTCTTGGGTTTGCTTTTGCAATTTGCAATGAAATAGCAAATAAGAAGACTTAATCCTCTAAGAGTTTGGGTTTTTTAATTAAAGTTAATGGTGTGGGTAATTAACTAATTATATTAAAAATCAAATAAATTAATTTAATTAATATTAAATTATTAAAAGGTAAAAACCCAAATTCATTCAGGTCAGCAAGTTAGGCAATTTCAATGGTTTCAGCGGGTTGGGCAGGCACCAACAAGCCAAAATGGGTGACCTTGCAAAATGGGTTAAGGTATTGACCCGAACCGTTTTCAAGCTCAGGTTTGGTTCAACCGATTCAATCGACCAGACTGAGTCGGTCCAAAAACACTGCTTTCAATGTATAATGTAGACCGCACATGAATCTTTTATTTTATTTTATTTTTAAAATTTTTTTAGTATTAATTTTGAATATTTGATAATCACATTAAATTTTGATCAATTTGAAATTGAATCACTTCAAACCTCAAAAGAGAAGAAATTCTCTTAACATGTGTTACTTCATTTATAAGATTCGAATTTAAAATTTTATTTAAAAGTAATTAAACTCATTTTACTCAAATTAAGGTCTCGTTGGATTTTATTTTTTAATTTTGAAAGGGCTTTTTGTTTTCCTTTTTTTTTTCTTCTTAGTAAAATTTGAATCGGTTGCTTTCCTTTTATATACTGGAATTTCAATTGCTAAACCCAGCGTTAGGCATCAAACTTATCTAATGTTAACATGAAAACTCCTAAACTAAAAAAATGTGCATATAAGCCCTTAAACCTAGGGCTGTTCATATTTGATCTAAGATTGATTGATCCAATTGAAATTAATCCAATTTAATTAAAATCTAATCCAAACTTATATCAATTGGATTGGTTCAAATTATAAAATTTTAAAATATATATAAATTGTTTAATTTATAATTTTACTTTTAAATTAATCGAATTGTCAAATTACAAAATAACTTAATTATATAACATAATATTTTTAAAATTTTTTAGTAAAATAAAAATATAATATGTTTTTAGAATTTTTATTTCTATGTACTAATTTTATTTTAAATTTTCATTTCTTGTCCTATACAAATAAAATGCTACTCTCAAAAATCTTTAGTTTCTTGAGCGATAATAGCATAGGTATATGTGTCTTGATTACCTTATCAGTCTCTTGCTTTTTTCCTTTTTCTTTTTTTTTGCCTTTTTTAATTTTTACTTTAATCTAATAGTTGGTATTATCATTTTATTGTCTATAATATTATTGTACTTTATAATTGGATTTTCTTTAGTTTGATACTTTAATTTTTTACATAATCAAATATATTTAAAATAATGTTAAACGTTAATCAATTTGATCGAACCATCTCAATCCAATTTAAATTAGATTGATTTGGTTATAATATAATAGTAGATTGAATTAATTTGAAAATTTACCAACTAATTAAATCAGTTTAGTTTTAAAAATGTTAAAATTCAATTTAATGCAAACCATGAACACCCCTACTCAAACCCCACAACCAATGTAAACAGCCCTCTAACTAATGTCATTTATTAATGCATTTGATGTGTCCATTAAAACCAAAGACTACCGCTAAGGCATTTTAAAATGGAAATTTCTAATTTATTTGCTAGGTGCAATTAATATATATGGAAAAGTTTAAAATTAACTTTAATTTTATCAATCGTTTAATTAAAATTGTGCATATGGCATTGTTGATTAAAATAAGATCAACTTTTTGATTTTTTATAGAAATTAAATGTAGAAATATATAATTACTGTCCTTTTAACTTGTGAACACAAATTAGACAAACCTTTAAAAAAATTGATTAATTATAATTTAATCCTTATATTAGTCAAATTTAAATAAAAAACAGTTGTTAAACTTGTACAAAATGTTGAAAATGACCCATTTGTTGCAATCAAACTATTTTTTTTTCATTCTTAATTCTATCTTAACATTGATGGTCCAATTAAATTACATAAATCAATTAGAAAACCATTAATTTAGAACATTCAACTATTAATTTCAGATAAAACCAATTGAAATTACATTAATTTTGGAATAAAAATATGTTAACCTTTGAGTGGGATGTCGATTTTTCTTTTCTCAATACCAAATATTTGGTTCTCATGAAATGAGAACAATTCAACTAAAAGTATCCTTCTCCTATATTTCTCAAGATGTATTAAAATGATTCTTTTGAGCATAGCCATGGATCATTGCACTCCAAGTGCACAATATATAATTATTGATTTGGTATTTAATTGAAATTGATAGGTGGGGTTTATAAATTAATAGTTTTTCAACTGATTTACATGATTTAATTGGACCATTGATACTTAATTGAATTGATAAAGAAAAAAAGTTTTTTTTTTTTATATGTAATACCTAAAAGCTTTATTCATAAAATATAGATAATAGTACAAATAAACATTACATAGTAGTGTTCATCCACAATAATAAGATTAATAAAATCAAGCATATCTTCAACTTAAACCCTCTTTTATAGCATGCTAACTTATTTATAATTTTATTTCCTTCTCTCCTCACATGTTGTAGCTTAGTGCTACAAAAGGTTATTAATGCCATCTTACAATCATGTAAAATAATCTCCAAAGGCAAATGTTCCCCCACTACCCCTATGGTACACTTGAGACCACATACACACAATCTGATTGCATAAGTACATGCTCGAAAGGCATTTCTTTTGCCTATACCAATGCCCTTCGTAAACTACAAGCTTCCACCTCATCCACTAAAAATAAACCACACTCCCCTCATGAAAAGGCCACCATTATCTTCCCTTCACTAGTGTGGATAACTATCCTTATACAACTTGCTGCTCAAAGATAGCTTATCAGCGTTCATTTTATGATGACCTCCATCAAGTGGTGCCTAATTACCATTCTGCTACCCACCATTGCCTCCCTTCAACTCATTGTGCAATTGTGCAGCCTCGACATCTTGAAAATACTTAATGGTAAAACAAATCATCTGCATGAGTTCCTTACTCCTACCATGCCAAAGGGCATTCTTCCCATTTTCCAAAAGTATCCTTCACAAAATCGAAAACAATTTTAATTTGCCAACTTCCATCACATGAGTAACTTCATTAAAAACTCTCTAAAACTACCTACTCCTAATTCACTTACCCTTATATTAACTAGAGAACCCATCCATCCTACCTTTGCCACAACACAATCCTCAAAATAGTGAAGCAACATCTCACTCTCCACACCACACATTGGGCAAAACATATCCACCATCACTTGTTTAGGATGCAAATTATCCTTTGATGGAAGAATATTTTGATAGGTACTTACTATCAACTTAGCTTTCTCAAGGATGGATAACTTCCAAAGAGCTTCACTCCCAAAACATCCTCTCGACCTTAATGGTACCTATACATCACCTTACTCTAGAGAACTTATTTGTTATTAATTAGCCCAACACAAATGCACTTTGCTCTAGAGAAATAATCCTGGCCAAAATTTACATAAGTCTATTGGCTAACACTTTTGCCACTATCATGTAAATGACATTAATAAATAAAGTTAATTGGCCTTGAATTTGTAGCAATCCTATACTCTTTGCACTTAAGTACCAACACAATACATGTAAAATTAATCTCCCTAGGTAGCTCCTTCTTCTTATTCAATTAACCTAAGCAAGTTAAACATTTATCAGTGCCCATGTTTAAGGGCGAAGCCAGGAATTTTAGTCAGGGGGTCGGATTTTCAAGTTTCAAAATAATACATTATAATTTCAAAAGCTTACTTTTATATCATAAATTAAAATAATACTCAATGAGTTTTCATATCATTAAATCTATCTATAATAAAGTCTACACTAAATGTTTGAATTATTTCTTTTTCAATATAAACAATCAAAGAGTTTGAAAGGAATTTATCTTTCATTTTGTTGTGAAGTCTTGTTTTTACAATTTTCATGGCAGACAATGTTATTTATATTGTTGCTGTAGAAACTAGAAGAGTAAGTATCAAAGTAATTAACTTGTAAATGAGACCATAGACCTCTGATTTTCTAGTCTCCACAAGCCATTAACATAGTTCAGAAATATTTGACAAATTATGAAAACCTTGATCACAACTTGTTTCAATCTCATAATGTTGAAGCTCTGATCTCAAATTAAGTTTCTCCATCTCTGAAAAATCTCGAGGATTGTATTTTTCTACAAGCTCACAAATATGATCAATATTGAAACTCTTGCACCCATTTTTAAGATCTAAAGCACCACTGAAAGTCAATAGTTCCATTGCATTTTCATTAAACCTACAATTCAATTCTTGCAATTGGGAATCAATTGCAGCATTGAAAATATCTATTCGATAATGATGCTTAATAGTAATAATATCTTGTTGATGACGAGCACGTCCTTCCCATGCAACATATGTGGCAAACATGTCAGG